TGGCTGGGAAAACAAACCAGGTTAATAGGTTCGGATTCCTATAACTTATAGTATATATAGGGGATGGAATCGAACCATATTGGGGGACGATAAATCTTCGGACTGAACGCTTGAATCGCTTTCCTAAAGGCTTCTAGTAATCCTAGGCTAAATCTACACGACAACTTGAACACGAGAGAAAAGACGTGAAATATGGGAAGGAAGCTTTACTCCAAGGTTAGATTATGTACGGAAAATTGAGGGTATTTATAGCATTCCAGATGGCTTTATGCTTCTGGAACCCTACTAAACATAGCAGTAGGATGGGAAATTATCGATCAGAAATACAACACGCAACTCTTCGCTTTCTAGATGTCTCTGAGAAACTCCTATTCAATACTGATTGGCCAAAATATCTTTCAGCGTTTTCGGGCTCTTTCCGAGGAATATTCTAGGTCTCCCCGACAGGGAACGGCAAAGGTATATGATAGATCCCTTAGAACGACATAATTTGACCTACTGCACGACCACTGCTTACATAAAAAATAGGTACAGAGGAAATAAGTCTGGAAATGTGCATTTAATATCTAGCTGACACCTAAGAGTACTGACTGATGGTTACTAACATTTCGATGGTTAGAAGTAAAAAGTTTAGAATTTTTATACCTCCAACTTATGTGCTCAAAACGTATCAGCTTGTCGTTTGTATAAAATTTACATCCTCTGCGGAGAAATTGACAAAAGTATGCATGAGGTAGACCTGAGTAGGTCAGACGGGCGACAGTTGTCTGTTAATTAGTTTGTAACCCATAAAATCACTTTGGTGATCTCTAAAAAATAAATATGAATGCAGATACTATACCAGGGTTGAAGTAAGAACAGTTTATTGGTTTTTTTTTACAATTTTACATAAATAAACTACCAGACAACTGGTAGGTGATGTCCCGTTTAGAAAGACCCTGTCAAAATTGGCATAGTGTAGTATAAATCAAGCGTAAAAACATGAAAACACGTTTCGCTCTATTGGTTTTACCTTGGCGGAAGAATGTTTCGACCGACAGGAATTAATAAGATGAGAGTGGAAATCACAAAGAACACGACCAAACTTACAAGAGTATCTCGCGAACGTGACCCGGAAATCTTTTTGATTGCGTAGGCTTTTCCGTCAATTTTGTGTCTTGTCTACAACAATGTCTGAAAAAAATATGGGGGTGGTATACCTTGTAAACGGTTCCAAAACCACCATCTCCGATAAATACAAGTGGGTCGAAATTGTCGAGAAGATATTGATTTTGAACACAGCTTAAGAACCTAAAGATTTTAAAGTATTAGGTGTATCTAAAACCTTGGAAATGAACTCTTATACTAATGTTTTTCAGTGAAAATGATTTACCAGTGAGAGCAACAGTTCAGAAGCCAGATCAGGTCTATATGTACGTAATATTTCCAACAAACGCAGAAGGTTTCTACCAGTTTCATCATCTTCCTGCAGTGTGCATTTCCTTTTCTTTCCTAGATAGAATATAGAGATGAATACTCTATAGCTTACGATCGTATATCAATATTGGACCAGGAGATCTAGACATTTTATGAGTGACTTAACCTTCTGACGACCTTGGCCGTGTTATTTGATGGGTGAAAACACAAATTTTACTCAACAAAGTTAGTGCGAAAAAATGCTGTTTTTCATGATTTAAAAGTGAGCTATAAGAAATGGGTCTTACATGTAAAAATATACTAGATCTCGTGCTATAAAATGAAATCATGATTTCACAGGGATAAGTCGATATTAGGAATTTTCTAGCTTTCCACTGCGTCTAGACAGTCCTAAATTATTCTTATGACGGCAAAGCACTCTTCGTCTCAGTTTTGAGTTTCGACACTGGTTATGAATTTTGTGTATAGAAAGAGAAATTATCCAAGACAAAGCGTTTTCATTGAGTCTTTTTCAGTTTCAGTTTGGGTATGACAGTTAGTTAGGTGACTTGTTTTAGTCTTGGCAATGCTGGTCTGTCAGTCGATCGGATTTTCTTCTGAAAGGCGGAGCTTCGATCACGTATTGAAGTAATGAACTCCATTCGCTGACGTTTCTATGAGAATGTCTGTAATCAGTTGATGAGTGGTCTATTATAAGCTTGTGAATCATCATGGGGTGCTCTCTAAAAATCCATAATTCCTAAACAACTTCTTTTGAACGATTCTTTCTAAACTTTTAACAATCGCACTGATTAGGCTTACGGGTCGATAGTTCTCAGGTTTATGTCCTGAACCTGATCGAAGGCAGGAATTACTATGATGTTCTTCTAGTTATTTGGTAATCGTCCTTGGGTTACAGATGGGTTAAAAAATATGCATATGGGGTTTGCAACGAAATTCGCTGGTTCCTTTAGTAACCTGGGATGTATCATATCGGTCCCATGGATTCGACTATATCAAGCTTATTTATCAGGCCAAAGACAGAGTTCTTTAGTGGTCACCGTATCGAGTGTGTGTAGGAGTTCGTATGAACTGAAGAGAAGAGCATTTGCACGGTATACACATTGCTAAAGGAGTTTGAGTGTACCTGAGCTTTACCATTGTTATCCTTCACCTATGATGAAGTATTACTGTCTCCCCATAGTACTGGAATATATCCTCTTCTCTTAGTCCTTTGATTTATGTACAAGTGTAAGCGTTCGAGGTATTCTAGAGATCCCTGAGCAAATTTTTCGTACAACCTCCTAGATTTGTGGAAGATCAAGACACAAGTATCCCGAGCTACCCGATATCGAGATTTTGTCTCATCAGTAACCTAGATCTCTCCCGAATTCTTACGAAGAAGGGTGTAAACCACCTTGCTGAACCACGAAGAGGATTTTTTCGAGCCACTTGTTGCAGTCGAAGGGATGTGAAATGCCGTAATATTTATGTATAAATTCCTGAATACATCCCAAGACATTGCATGAGAGGACTCTGGGTTTACTGACCAGTCTACTGAGGATGATGAGTGCATAGTATCTTACATATCTGCTTTCCAGATGTTTGGTCCGTCTTGAGCTGACACATCTTTGTTGACAACGATATGGAAACCAAAAGTTTGTACTTCATGTTCACTCAACCACGGATGACATATGATGGAGGTTTGTGGTCCCCCTTTATTATCGGTCAATATGAGATCTTGTATGGATGATTTGGAGTCCAGTTTGTACTTAGTTACTTCTTTCATACGTTGCTCTATGACTCGTGAATTTTCTGAAAACTTAATTCTCAGATTTTTTCGTTGTACCGTAGGTGCACTAAAGTCCCCTAAGTTTAACATCGACCACAAAGACCGTTAACCACTTTAGCTAATGCCGACTGTGTAGTGTCGTCTCTTCCATTGGGAGGTTTAGGTACTACTATAGATATCCTGAGGCATTAGCTGGTCAGTAGCTCTTTTATCAAGTTCATTTCATTCTTGAAGGACGTTTTGTTTTTTGAACCTTAGCTTTCCTTAAATTTATGAAAAGTAACTGACCTGTCACTATGATCAGCCTTTAATTTTTCGGCTACTGTTTGATGGACTGGTTTCCTTTTAGCAACATTGAGTTATTTCTTATTCTCGATTTGTACCCACTCATCAACTGTTATTGAAGTAGTAATTATAGTCGTGTTACACAAAATTTTGTTTTCCTGTTGGCAACAGAACTAGCACTGCAATTAGGTCTTCTAGGCGTTTCCATATATTCCATATACACAGTATTTCCGGAAAAAATTCTTGATGATATTCGGCCTGCAATTTTTTCGAACTGATCTGTCTTGAAACAAAAAAAGGATGACTCAAATCAATCATTTCAAAGGAATGGAGTCGAAGTGCGGAGAACTTTGGTGAAGAAGAATCATTAAATGGAAGTAGCTATCGCCATGGAATACAAAGACAGAAGTTGTACAAGTGGAGAAATGCAGTCGTAGGTAGATATGAGAATCAACTTTATCCTGGGTTATAAACGAAATATGATGCGTATTAAATTAATGGATGAGACGGAAAACTTGGTAGTTAAGGTGGAACAAAATGTTGTACATGCATACAGAATGTTTTTCCTACTCTCAGAAATACATACACAAATAAATGATCTCACAAAACCTGGGATAGGCCAAGATGGACAATGATGCAGTTTTACTGTGAAGTAATGTGGGTTAAGCCGTTATGTCATCCATAGTCTACAACATTAGTGTAAAATTATCGATCTAGCAACATAAATAGGCCCAGTAATGGCATGCGTTGTCTTAAATTCTACGAAAGTAACCATTTAGGTCCAATACATATATTATTTTTGGAGTACTCTAAAAAGCAAGCAAATAGTACTGGCTCTAAATAAATCTACATGGGCATAGGATTGTCTATGTCAGTAAGTATTCAACATCGAAATGAGTTATTCTTTTCCTTTTTCAACGTCATCTGTTATCAGCTAGTACATCTATTCTTCTTTCAAGTCCTGAAGTTTTGGTAAGTTGACTAGCTATCTAGATAATATTGATCAGCGAGATAGCCATGGGATTTTAACACTTTCGTGATGGTGAGCAAATTAAGTTATCTCAGTTACCCAGTTTTGTCTAGCCAGTAACTAGGCTTCTAAGGGGGGATAGTACAGATCACATGATGCAGTTATATTCTAAGAACAAGCAAAATTCCGACATACGTGATAAAAGGCATCCTATTGATGAGTTATGAAAAAGTAAATATTTAATAGGGCATGTATGAGTGAACATGTGCAAGTTAACGTTAGTGCTCTTAAATAATATGGTCAGAGCTGCACTTATTTTGTCTCTTTCCAATTGAGATAAATATTTATTAACTTGGGAAATCCGTTGCAAGGAATAATATTAAATGTACGTTTAGTAATCCTTCATTTATCGATGATACCGACATCATTCACATCGCAATGCTGACAGTAACCCGAAGGGTTATGTAAAAGAAGAATTCTTAAACTATAACAAACATAATGGTGATAACTGTGGTTATTCGTCGAAATATCTTCCTGTCTTAGAAGACATAAAAATTGATGTTAATGACGTTACAAGACACGTACAAGTTACCGAGATTTCTCTGGCGGTGTTATCGAAATAAAGGGATGTAACATTAGCAACACGGTAAGATTGAAACAACCTCTGGTTTGAAATTATTGATTAATTGATTGGTTGTATCAAAGCATTTAATTGGGTGGTTACAGTTAGTTAGAAGCTAATTAAGCTGAGAATATACACATCTCATCGTGGGATTTACTTCAGCGCCGATAAATACTTCCAAGTGTGTTGTGATGCATATCGGTCACCAAGGTACAGATAAATATACGATGAATAACACTTAGCTACCTGTCATCCAGACATATAATGACTTAGGAGTAATCGTTAGCCAAGACTTAGAGACTACTACACACTGCCGTGCAATAGCCGCCAAAGGTTTTAGAACAGTATGGTCAATACGTAGGGCTTTTAATCATGTCGACGCTAAGACGTTTTTGACTTTGTATACAGTGTTCGTACGCCCTAAACTTGAGTACTGCATACAAGCGGCCAGCCCCTGCTTAAAAAAACAGTGGGCTTCTGGAAAAGGTTCAGAGAACGGCAACTAAGCTGATTCCCGGAATAGCGAAGCTTCCGTATGAAGCTCGACTGGCCAAGCTGAACCTTTTCCCGTTGTCATATCACAGAACTAGAGGCGACTTGATTATAGTTTCCAAATTGCTTAGTGCCAAATTTGCACCTGATATGCCCTCATTTTTCTTGTCTTCCAAAACAGAATTTACTAGGACATTCCAAAAAGGTTCACAAGACAAGAACAAATTACTTGTCAGCTGACTATCGACTTTCCCATCGAATCATCAACGAGTGGAACTCATTACCTCCACGTGGTTGAGGCTCCATCCGTCGATTCTTTCAAAAGAAAGTTGGATCAACTGAGGGACCACCATTGCCAGGACTAACACAGTCCATCGGGCCTCCTGTCCTTCCCAAACTGAAACTGAAACCGAATTCCATCCAATTAATCGAGTTGCTCATTACGTTAATGGCGAGTCTGCAAGAAAACTTTTAAGTATCAATATGCCTAGAACAAAAAAACACACACGTAAAATATTAGTCCAATATCGAGGCGAAGAACTCTGGTACTACAGAAAAAAAACTCGGTGAAATAAAATCAGTGCTAAAAAACAAACAGTCAGCCAAATTACAAATCCAACCACCTAAAAAATTGCGTCCTAGCGAATCGTTTTTATATGAGAAAAGAAGCGTTGGCAATATTATTGCACATTGTTTTCGTTCTGTGGTACCAGAGTTCGCTTCGTTATTTGATCCAGATTTTACGTTTGGATCTGTCCCTTTTGTTCCAGGTATACTGAAACTCAAATTTTTTTCCAGAGGCTCGCCGAAATACCAGCTGCCTTTATTAGACGTCTTCAAGAACTGGCAGCAGCAACAGTCACTAATTGTTCAGGAACAAAACTCGAAATTGTTCTTAATCAATTTATCGAGGACATGAACTACTACAAAAGAAGTTCGCGAAACAAGTTCATAAAAGCTTAAAAGTTGCTCGTGAGGAAACAGTTTTGGAAGAACAGATTTCCGTGATCACAGGTTTTTAAGAGTTGAACTGCCATAGTAGTTCAAAGGTTTACCGGCTAACTGCCCACGTTAGAAATGCCCAGAAAGTGAGCTTCCGCTCAAGAAGTACTAAGTGCTTATACTACAAACCCAACAGCGGGCATACGAGATGGTGCAGTCTGAAACATCTACGATAAAATGTTGTGTGGAATTATTGTACTTGTGATTATACTTGCTTTGGGTACTTATTGCACTAAAAAGCATTCTTGGTCTACTTTAACTAAAAGTACTTTGGTTAAAGTCTGAAATTTTTTGCTAAATTTTGTCCTGGGTACCTTTTTTACTCCTTGACTAACACTTGTGTTCACATTGTGATCATTTCGTGTTTTTAAATCGAGTTACAATGGTCGGTAATACTCACAAATGTGGGCAACCAAATTGTTTGTTCCCCGTTAAGGAGGGAATGCAGTGTGATGATTGTAAAAAGTGGTACCACAAAATGTGTACACGCCTAAGTCCGACGGCATACGAAAGATGCTCGAAGCCTGCGGAAGCACTGATAACAAGAGCACTGATGGTGAAGAATGTGTCAGTGTAGTAAGTGCTGCTACTGGACCCGTTAAACACCCGACTGTGGTTAACGGGAACGTGAAATCTCAGTTGACATTAACGAGGAATGAAGTGCCGCTTGATATTGACATCGGCAGTCATACACCTCTAGTCGAAATAGAAGATCCGGATAAAACTGTCACCGCTCCACGTAGTCCAGGTGTGGCTGTCCTGAGTGGTGAAAAATGAACTTCAGTGAAGAGAAAAAGAAATGGGAAGAAAAAGGCTGTGGGCAAAACGCAGCTGGTCAGCAAGGCATTGGAAGGGATGTTATCAGGAGAAAAATCCTCACTGCGTGATAAGACAAATCTCTCTGAGATCAGTCATTTTTAATAAGATAAGAGAATCTTCAGATTAAGAACCAAAGGCGAGATTTGAACACGATCTCAATCATATTAAGACATCATTAAGTAAACTACTCCCAGATACAGTTTCAGGAGTCAGTATTTGTAAGCTTTATAGGATAGGAAAAAAGGTGGATTCCGAAAGTCCTCAGAATAACCGCCTCCTGAAGGTTACATTCAACACGGTGTAAGCAAGGAACCTGATTATAAGTAATTCACGTAAACTGATTGGATCCGGAATATATGTCCGTGAGGATCTCAGCCTAGCTGATCGTATTAAGAGACGAGCTGCAGAAGCGGAAATAAATGAGCGTCGCCAAAACGGTGAAAGAAACCTCGTTCTTAAGGGTTTTCAAATTGTAAAAGTTCGGAGCAAAACGATCCCCAAGCCACTCTGGGTGGCAAGGGAAAGCTCTCCTTAGACTTAAAGGTATGCTTCATAAATGCTCACAGCCTTCTAAATAAAATGGCGGAGCTCAAGTCAGTGGTTGATAAAGAAAAACCGGACGTTATTGCTGTCTCGGAAACTTGGTTAACGTCAGAAGTATTAGATAGTGAAATCCAATTGACTGTTTTCATAACCAGTAGAGCTGATAGATTAAACCGAAGGGGAGGCGGGGTTATTCTGTACCCGAAAAGTACCCTAACCATAAGATTAGCTGAGACAGTAGCACATGTTTCAGGGACATGTGAACTGATGAGATGTAAGTTGAAATGCCGACGGGAAGATATTGAAGTAGTTGTAATATATCGCAGTCCAGGATGTGTAGCAGATGATTTTATCCTAAGTAAACTTAAATCCTGGTGTAACAACGGTAAAAGCCTTGTAGTAGGCGACTTTAATGCACCATATATAAACTGGGTTAACCTAGAAGTAGGGTCATCGATATCGTCGTTCGACTGCAAACTGTTAGAAACCTCGATTGGATTAGCATTATTCCAACACATTAGAGATCCCACAAGATACGACTTAAGAAACCCTTCTTCTCTTTTAGATTTAGTCTTCACACACGGTGATGACGTTGGTCAAATGGCTTTTCCCCACCATACAGTTGCGCCGACCCGTCCTAACATATGGAAGGTAGATATGCAGGCAATTAACTCCGCAGCATCGGCTGAGAACTGGGAAATTGACTCAAAGGCATCAGTACAAGAGGCATGGACTCTATTCAGGCAGTTATACAATCGGGTAACTCAACCATACATACCCTGGACTGTCCCAAAGAAAAAGAAGCACGGACATCCCTGGATAGGGCGGGATATTCGACGCTTACTAAGACAAAAGAAGAAATGCTGGGATGTTGCCATCCGCCTTGGCACAGCAGGTACGATGGAACGCTACAGATCGATAAGAAACGAGTGTATAACTAAAATTCGGGAAGCGCAAAGAAAATATGAAATGCAGCTGGCACAATCTGCACTCAAGCAGCCCAAGAGGATATTCTCGTACATAAACTACAGAACAAGGATTCATCATTGGATTCCCAACCTAATTAAAGTAGGAAGTGAATCTGAAATGATAGAGGAAGATCAGGAAAAAGCAGAGGTTATGGCTGACTACTTTGGGGCAGTTTTCACTCAGGAACCTCCTCTAGAGAAAGAACCAGACCCAATTACAGAGTCAACAAACCAGCTGCTCACCGTGGACTTCGACCAAAACGATGTGCTTAAGGCTCTTAGCACCCTAAACATGGAGAAGTCAACAGGACCAGATGAACTACACCCTAAAATCTTGAGACATATTGCCCAATATATCGCAGCCCCACTGACTGTGATATTCAAAATGTCACTTGACCAAGGTGTGTTACCTATGGACTGGAAGGACGCAATCGTCACTCCCATACATAAAACAGGTCCACGACAAGTTCCATCGAATTACAGACCCGTAAGCCTCACCAGTGTTGTAATTAAAATACTGGAAAGAATAATCAAACGGACCATAACGGCATTTATGGAAACCAATAACTTGCTGAACATGGCACAACATGGTTTTAGAAAGGGTCTATCCTGTACAACGAACCTCCTTATAGCTAGGGAGCTCTGGATTAATGCGCTAGACAACGGAAACTCAGTGGATGTTGTCTACATAGACTTCAGTAAGGCTTTTGACAAGGTGCCAACTAATAGACTGCTATTGAAGTTGGAAAACCTTGGTATTGCCGGACCTCTTTTAAAATGGATTAAGGATTTCCTAGTAGGTCGTAGGCAAAAAGTAAGAATAAATTCCAAGTGCTCCATCTGGAGACCAGTACTTAGTGGAGTACCCCAAGGTTCCGTCTTAGGTCCTTTACTTTTTATAATGTACGTTAATGATCTTACAAGTATAGTACAGTCTCCAATGTTATTATACGCTGACGATGTAAAAATTTGGCGAGTAATAACTGGAGACAAAGACGCATTTACTCTTCAGGCGACTTAAATAATATGATAAACTGGTCTAAAGAGTGGCTAATGCCTATCAACTCGGAAAAGTGTGTCTACATGCACTTGGGGGATTCAAAGGTTAATACGTACAACATAGGGGATGTGTCATTACCCGTAGTCCGGTCTCATAAGGACCTAGGGGTGACAGTGAGCAATGATCTTAAGACGACGGCCCATTGCCGGGAGGTCGCAGTTAAGGGGTTTCGAACCCTCTGGGCTTTAAAAAGGACATTCACTAAGCTTGATACTACCATGTTCACCACATTATACACATCCTTAGTGAGAACTAAGTTAGAGAACTGTGTTCAGGCTGCAAGCCCCTGTTTAAAAGGTGACTCGGACATAATAGAAAAGGTACAGAGGGCAGCTACGCGTGCAATTCCGGAACTCCGGGGTTTATCATATAAAGAGCGGCTTGAAAAACTGAACCTCTTTACTCTGTCCTATCGCAGACTAAGGGGAGATCTAATTTTGATGTACAGAATACTGAGAAATGATTTCGGACCTAACTTATTCTCTCTCTTTCTTCCCACTAGATCGGGACACCTCAGAGGACATAGCAGGCGAGTAGAAAAGCCAAGAACGAACAAAATACCCGTGGCATACAGGTTTTCACACCGAGTCATCAATACTTGGAACCTGCTGCCTGAAGCAGTGGTGTCCGCACCTTCAATTGACTCTTTCAAGAGAAGACTGGACACTCACAGAAGCATACTAGAAAAGGAATAACATAGGCCGTAGGCCTTCTGTCCTTACTACTCAAATCCGAATCTTATCCTAGACGATTGAGCTTGTTTATTTTTTTAATCCTTGTTATAACTGAATAAAAGTGGTGTAGTTTGACATAAATGAAAAATACTAGAACTGTAGATGGAAATTTACTATGCTCCAAAGATAGATCAGAAACTTTTCGGTGTACACGGAATTTTATATTTTTTACTCATACTCATCAATAGTCAAATTTCAACAATGAACTGGGAAAAACTTGACAATAACTAACCATTAACTTAATGGATATTTACAATTTACATCATAAGACTGAACTGCTATGAGTAAGAAATGTCAGTGAATTTTTTTACTATCAATTATATTACAGTAAGCATTAATTGTTTCTGACGTATTGTAAGTGAAAGAATTATTGAATCAAACACTAGTCTGGCAATGGAATATAGTGAACTACTGATCGGGTTATATTTGGATAGTTTGATAGTAAGTTTTTCGATCGAATATGTTATTTTTGTATCGGCAGATGTAAAGACTTAATTTGAAACAAACACAACCGATTTTTTTTAGAAAGGCAGAGTTTAGTCTCCTGATTGTTTGCAGATGCGTGTATGGTGTTTAGTATAATCTTAACTTAGATAGGTTCAACTCGGATTTAAGTCAACAACAGGGGAAATGAATAAACAACTGATGTTTAGCCACAGTTTTAATTTGGCAAGATGTGTATATAGTTTTGACTTAACTATAGTATCAATAAATAAATTGATTTCCTACATTTTTTAAACAAGAGCGAAATATATGGACGAGTTTTCCAACCGGATGACCTAATGCTTGAGAGTTAAATGCTTTTATTACTATAAGGAACTGATCACTTAAATGAAGGCTATATTTTACTAGCCAGTTTTTGCTGCTTTTGGTCTAAAACGTAAATAAGATTGCTCTTCTTAAAATCAGACTAAATGATCGTTTTGTTTCCTCATTTTCAGCACTTAGTCAACGGATGGTCATAAAAGGGAGTTTTTTAGAATTGTCATATCATATAAAATATTTTTGATTTATGAATCAGGATTTTTTAGGTCTGAGGCTTTATTGTGCATTGAAGTTCACATTAACATTTACACGACGTTTATATGAATAAGTATCAAATACAGCTTAGATATAAAATACTCTGGGGGAAGTAAAAGTATATTTTCATGTGTTTTTTGCAGTCTTTTGCGTTCTTTTCCATAGATTTTAAAACGAATAGTCAATATTTTCATGTATAAACAACCCTGGGATCTTTTATAACATGTTAGGTCACGTTAATTTGTTCTTATGAACATTTGCTCTCTCAATGACGTGTATATAGTCCCTTTTTGGCTGACCATTTTTCATTCTTTCTAGCTTTCTAACGATGTTATCCTGTGAAGAACTAGCAATAATGAGAAATTTACCCGCTCTTGTGTCAGATTTGGATAGTATGGATATTATTGATCACCTTACTGCTACTACTCCTCCATTAATCACTCCTACTGATTATGAATCAATTATAGCGACTTCCCAAAGAGAGGGCAGAAGAGCAGGAGTAAGATGTTTAATTGCTTGTTTACTACGTCGATCGGAAATCAAAAAAGTATTCGGATCTTTTCTAAATATATTAAAAGAAGATTACGGCCACTTGTTTGATTTGTTAGACAAAACATACGAGAGCTTAAAAAATAAAAATAACGATGAATCTGATTTTGGTGCACTAAGCAAAATTTCCTTTTGTTCTAGTATCGTTTTGGAGACAGAAAATCCACTAACCGTAACTACCCCTTGTCAATCGATCTCCAAAGACGTTGATCATTCGAAGGTGTTTTTAAAAGGGCTTGGAGTTTCTGAGAATGGTAATTATTCATCTAATTAGCATGCTATTAACGTATATATATTGACTAAATACTGATTGAAGACAAATATCCTTTGGTTCGTGAGGTCATAGTATAAACTGACTACCTCTACTCTTTTCACTATCTCATAGTCAGTGTATAGTGTTAAGTTTGGGAGTTAGGGCAATGTATCTAGAACGTGTCTAACTGCCCAAAGTTTGTGTTTCTGGATGATATTTGTCGAATCGTGATGAGGAAAATGTTGGAACAAATGTAGCTTAGCCTTACGATTATCTACATGATAGTCGTCGAACATTAGCGATTCTTCAGAGAAAATTGTGATTGGACACAGGATTTTCGAACTATGTTAACTCAGATACACTAGGTTATTATTAGACGTTATACAGTACTGAGACTGGTCGCGTTGTATTAGGTCCAGGATTCACAACACAGAGTAGAGAGCCAGATGACACAGTTACAAGCAGTCACATTCAGTCAGTCCGAAATGGAAATTAATAACAGGAGAGGAAATCACTTATTTAATAGTCCGTAGGCTAAGTACCTGTCTGACCACGCTCATTGATCAATCGTATCTTACTCTCATCACCACATATCAGTTTCTCAAGTGTAAAAAATAGCCGCTTGGATAGCAGTATTGTGCGTTGGATTTTTATAACTGGGCCGTTGTCGCGGCAGCGTCGATGATAGTTTAAAATACAATAAGTTGTCATGGCTTTTAGTATATAGGAATCGATCTCATCTGTTACTTAATCATTAACATTTATATAATTACCTACACATGTAAACTTATCGATTATTGAGGACTATTTATCAAGTGCATGTGCAGGTTCTGGTTCCTGCTATTCATTAGGACTATTTTGCACTCCGCTCTTTAGAAAGTAAATGTCATACTTACATTTTTTCAGAGTGATTAAATGTTATTTTGGGTAGCCATATATCGTCACATAGTAAACTTTCATTTTCACGTTCTAGATGAAAATCATTCAATCAGTAACATCTATACTAGCTGTTTTCGGAACACTGAGGGAAAATTAATATACAATATAGATAGTGGGAAACTACATAAATCTGTTTTTTCGAATAATGGAGATACAGAGGATGATGTACTAATTACCAAGTTGCTTTTAAAGGGTTTTCATGGTATTCTTACACTTTATAAATATTCAAATTTGACTAAATATTTAATATTTATGGTCAAGTCCTAATTTCATTAACATTCGACTGGTCTACGAAATTCGGATATTCTAATCGTTTATATTTCAATTAGCTTCTAAAGATATCTATTTTCGTTGCTAATATTTAGTATTTAAGTATGTTATTTTACTTTAGAAAAAGCCTATTCTACTCTTTACTTTTCTTCAATCTTATCTCTACCTTTTACAAATCACTAGGTCTGGTTTTTATCCATGCTCCTAGTAAGCTTATACTGTCGACAATTTACTTCTAAAATCCATATTCATCAAATAGTATACCTGTTAGGTGGTTAGAGGCAGTCAACAGGAAGCTAATGATCTAGCTTTGTTATCCGCTGTTACTCATCAGCAAGGTATATCTGTGACATTGATGTAACTTTCTCCATAGTTGGTCCAATTTCCTTTCTCTCAGGTCCGTAATCTGAAACGTTACCACTAAGCTATTAGGGTTTCGGCAGGCCTCCTATATGACTGAGATATTTACAATTGATTGGTCATTAAGTAGTAGCCAATATCATGTTCAAATCTTTTAGTGCTGATTGAATTCTATCGATCAAACTGCAATTTCTCCACTTGTCTAAGTGACTCCACATCACGTTGACTATGTTGAGACTTTACAGGTACACGTCATTGACGAGTGATCAATAGCATGAAACATAGGTTCGGTATTCTTTTTGCCGACTCCCTCAAATCATCTAAGTCAACCAACTGAAGCTTCACCCCAACATCAGCATTCTGATGTTACATGGGATCACTGGGAATTGATTCTATCATATTTGATGTTGACTATCTAGTTAATGCTCTATATCTAAGCAAAATACAACAATGGACGTTTCAGGATTTAGGGTCTCTGTTGTCACTTTTGACGATAATAATTTTCTATATATAGAATATGTATTACTCAGTTTGCATTACCTAATCATGAACCGAATCAAGCATTGTCCTTTTACATTAGTATTAGTCTATTCAAGTCTAAAACAGTTGATTTAACTACCGATACGTTATTATTATTATTATTATTATTATTATTATTCAGTTCTGTTTCATTTTTTTAAATAAAAATCTATCAGATATCATATTCAACATTATTTCAACTATATGCTCACATCCAATTGCTGTTATGAATTGGAAAAATCTTTAAATGAATTGATAGGATGTAATACTATTAATGCTATTGGTATTTTTGTGAACAGTAATAATTCACACTTAAAAAACAATGATTCAAGCATGAAAGATTTTGAAGATTTTCTATGGTGTGCATCGAATTGTCGTCGCGGTCTCTTTCACTTTTTCTCAATCAATATAATTCGAAATTTAGAAAATCGTGGTTCTCCTCTCAAACGATCATATCCAGTGAATTTTGATACTGTTAAGTTTAATGCTGTAAGTTTTATTATTCAATCAGTCAGTCAGTTTTATGATTGATTATATAATAAACATTGAGATTAATGAAAATGCAAACTACTGGCTTATGTACTTGTTTCTTATGGATTGGACCAGTAATTAAATGCTCTATTTAATCTTGGACAGCTTAATATGCATGAAATTCACAGTCTATGTAGCTCATATTTCTGCATGCGAACGTGTGTATTTGGTCACTCTATCTCCCTAGTAGATAATGTAATCAAAGAGATATGGTGTAAAAGTATTGTCGAAATTTGTTCAGATGCCTTTAAAGTGTTGAAAATATTAGAAACCTTTGTTTGTATCCAACTCACAGCTTGTATTAGTAACCATTATAATGTACTTCGTTCACAATCGTGCGAATGTACCTTATGAAGGAATTAACATCTCACTCGAATAAATTTATTCATTTCTAGTAAAAAGATTTCTTTAAAAAATTAAGGTGGAAAGATATCTATGTTATATATTTTTCTGTTTAGCACGTCTTAACTACTCGACTTAACTCTAATGAAAACAAGACTTGATCTAAGAACACGATTTATTCCAATGCACTGAAATGACATTTCACATTAATAAGAACGAGAATTTCTGTGTGAATTTACACGATCGTTGATTAGCTGAAAATGAATCATTCAGCATATTCGGATTCGACTCTGCAATGAACAAAGTTGCTATAGCAGTGGCTGGGGTCGATTCGCATCAGGTCGGCTGGTTTAGACTCTCTGTCTAACTTCTTGGTAGTAAGTAAATATGTCGTTTCTTCCTTTTTATGCTCTGAAGCTTGCTTGACTATTGAGGATAGTTCAATCATAAAGATAGCTAAATAAGTACTGAGTGGTATTTTATAGTGAGTTTCATTACTAAAAATAGAGGTCGCTCAACGTAATTGTCTAACTCATGCAAGCTGATCAATCAACTGGGACTTCGTAGATTACATTACGTCTTCTCAAAATACAATAGCATGTTGAGTTAAGATGGTCAAGACGGTAGTCTGTAGAGAGTACTCTTTGAACTAAGGTAAACGACTACGTTCATACCTCACTATGTCAAGTAAATTGCTTCCTCATAGATATGTTTAGTTGAGACTCATCATTTGGCACTGGGTTAAAAACTGCTCTCAATTTCCAGTATCATAGGATTTCTGCTGGAATTCGAGAGTTCGATACAGTATGATAAATTAACGGAAACCTGTAGAGTAATAGTAGAAGTAATTGTTATATATATATATATATATATATTAATAAAAGCTAACTTTATTATCAATATCGTAAAACACTCGTGTGAAGAGATCTCGCATTATTTAGTATTATATGCTTATAAAATTAATTATCTAGCCAGAAAAATTGATCTAACTAGTTTCTGCATGATTTTATTTGTTCAAACACATAAACATTGGTACAAGGAGTCACCAAATATATATGCATCACACTATGTCATTCGATTTGTGTGAGGACTGGGACACTACTTTGTCACCCAAACCAAAGCAGGTGGTTTTGTTAAAGGGTCACTATCAGAACCTTTGACCTAAAGGTCTAATCGACAAGGGATTGGAGCAGCGTTAGGTCAGTCAGTCAGCTACAATGTAGGACCAGGCACATATATGCATCGGTCCAAGTTGCCATACTGCGTTAGCACAACAAGATGAACACCGGATTCATAGAAGTAGTTAATTCAATGATGGTAATATATAAAAGAAAGATTACATATAAGGAAATGCAGTCCTATGTTGACCGGTGACTACTTGGTTGGGGTCCACGTGACTATCGTAGCCAATGGTTGGAGACTCTTTGTGATATGGCTCAGAATCGACCACAATGGCGTCGGCGTATACACTGTCTTCCTTCAAACTATGAGAGTAAAATCGCTTCATATCTTTCTTTCTACGAACTAATTCTTTCTTCCTGTACTATGTCCATATATGCAATCTTTCTTTTGCATATTACCACCACTGAATTAACTACTTCTATGAATTCGGTGTTCATCTTGTTGTGTTAATGAGGTATGGCAACTTGGACCGATGCATGTATGTGCCTGGTCCTACATCGTAGCTGACTGACTGACTGTTCCCTCAGGATCCTGGAGCCCATGTACACCATTTGTTTGGAATCAGGGTTTTCCAACTCCTCTTGGTGAATCCCCTGTATCCACCAACCCGGGTTGAATCATCGTACATTCGCGTTTCGTCTTCTCAATTTCATAAACAACTCATCCACCACCAGAAGGTGGCGAGTAGGACTTTCATGGTAGTGGTTGTGTACACGTGGCTATGTGAGAGGATTTCGAGAGGGAGAACTGACTCCACTGTCGACTGTACCAGAGCATTCGGGGGAGGCATGATTTAGTTCAACTGTTTCTTTTTTGATGTTATAATAAGTTAACTTGTAGTTAGTTTCACATGATATTCGACTTAAGAAAATCAGTTATATTGATTGCTTATTCAAGCATACAAAATATGAAATTCACATTTACACTGGTCTGTATTTTGTTTTGTTAATTTGTTATGCCCATATAATAACTAATGAAGTGATATGTGCTCACAGTGGTTATAAGGTTCGATATCCTAATACGAAGTCATACATTCAGATTAAACAACTAGGTAGACTATAACTAGGCCTCGTATTTTAAACTATAATTCGAAGTTAAATACATTAATTTGTGCCTATTAAGTGAGTTGACAAGTCATTAAACACTTATCTAATTTAAGGTTACAATTTTTCGGTTACTTTTAATTAATACCATGAACTGATCAATGTTGGACCACCACTGAAAACTTGGAAGCACTGGATGGCCGTTTAGTTCTGGTATAGGACTCTTCAGTAGGAGTGAAGATCTCTGATCCTGCACTCCTGATCCGAACCTTGGACCTTCGGTCTCGCGCGCGAACGTTTAACCTGTAGACCACTGAGCCTGCATCCAACGGTATTAATGCCTAACTTCAACTTATTAATCTCTACAACCCAGTACTGATTATTTTCGGTTACCAGAATGGGTTTTGTGGAGAGTTTTAGAAATTTCACAGGTTGGCTTCAAGAGATACTCCTGGAGTTCTAGTGAGAAGCCGTTACCAGTGGAGTTCAACCAGGTCTGTTGTGAGATAACAACTCACTGAAGACAATGGTGTACGGTGGCGCAACTTCGTGGATTGGTTGGAGTTAGAAATTAACACCGTTGGATGCCGGCTCAGTGGTCTAGTGGTTAAGTGCTCGCGCGCGAAACCAATAGGTCCTGGGTTCGAGCCCCGCGTGGTGAGGGGTCGTGGATGTGCACTGCTGAGGAGCCCCATACTAGGACGAAACGGCCGTCCAGTGCTTGCAGGTTTTCCATGGTGGTCTAGCTTCAGTCGACTCATGATTTCAACCTGTGAAATTTTCGGTTACATTGTTAAAAGTTCGGTCAAAAATAATCATTGAATATTGCTGATAAACAAATATAATTACTTCGAATTTGTTGATTATCATTATTATTTTTCATTCTGTTTGCTTATTTTATTCAAAGCAATTAATTCGTAAATTAGTCACAGAAAAATTAATTCCAACTTTACAACATTTCAATCTCTGGAATTTAGCCAATCGCGTTCAAACACAGATTGAATACAATGATGAAAATAATTGTGACTCTGTGGAAAACTCTATTTTGGATAGATGTAGCCTTCTGTATATGAATAGTTTTCCTTTAAAATTACTCGATTCTACCTGTCATAATAATATGAAGAACGATAGTAATTTACTGTTTGATCTAAATCAACCTATTTCATCATTTGATCTATTGAAATCTTGTGCTCAATTTAATTATGCAAAATGTAAGTTGAGAATTAATAATTAGATTATTATTATCATCATTATAACTGTGTATTACAAGTATTACGAATAAACCATGAAAGTTTAACAAAAATTGTTTATACAAATATGTTAACTCTGATTTATTGTATACCTGAACTGAGATGATATCGGTGTCGACGTCGGAATATTTACTCAGAAGTAGTAATCTAGGGGAACATTAACAGAATTTGAAAATTAATAGATTTTTCTCAATATCTACCTCATCCTTATCGATTTTTGTAATAGTTGAATTAAAATGCTGGTGATTGTTAACGTTATTAGGTTGGGACACTAAGGGTAATATAACCTTTAAAAACTGTTAGGTAAGTAGCGATATTTAGCTGTAAATTTACTAACCAGGTATATTTCATTGTCGTTAATTGGTGAAATGCATTTTCCTATCGATGATGCTATTAAGCTGTATGAGGTTGTCGCAATATGTATTTTTCAGGCTGATAATTAGGATTAAAATCGTGATGGTTTATGTTTTCCCGTTGTTGATATCAAGGACTTCAAGTGGTCAATCTCTATTCGCATATGTAAATATTAAGAGGATTTCCTCACTTTCGACATTTAGCCATAAGCTTTTCTTAGTTTATTTACATCTGGTACTCATTGTTTGGATGTGGTTGAATCTATTGATAGTGTTTACACCAAGACTCGGCCCCCCATTACCGTTCGCTTCAATTGCCAATCTGTTACTAACACTGTTATTCAGGTGCATCCAACCGACAAGTCTCAATTAGAAGGAAACACAAGCCCTAGATATATCGATTGTGAATCTGTTCCATCTCTTGAGTTTTAAACAGTTAAATTGTTTTTTATGTGTTCTCCCAAATTCTAATCTTCTGGATTCTTCATGTCCCTTTTTTTTCCTTTCCAAATTTATTCTACTGGATTATACTCCTTGAATAACATCTTCAAACCCTAATCTTTCCGATTACTGCTTATACTCCTACTACCTCTACCACTACGGGATTTAAATCGACAATCGTATGTGTGTGCTAATGTGGTATGGCAACTCGAACTGATGTACGTACGTACGAAGTTCTATATTGTTACTGACTGACATATGTGTTAAACATGAGTTATATATATGCAGTTGTACATGGCAACGTAATGATGAAAAGTGTTATTGAAACTTATCTTTATAATGGTACATAAACTTTAAAATATTACTGTTATGATTCAATCTAAAAATTATGCTTAAAGAAGCAAGCACTATTTGATAGATTAGTTTAACAAGTTGCAAACACAACACACATGACAGCCTATTCGTAAGCGTATTTCTAACATTTAATTAGAATTAGAAAAATTCTGCTTCTGGTACACTATGTCGTATTTCTAATTGTAAGCAGATACTTCGTTTTATCACAGTGCTTAATTAGTAGACTTGAGGGATTTATGAATTAAAAAAAGAATTCAGCGAGGAAAATTTTCTTTTCGACAAAATCATTTGCTTAAGCTGCACATTCGTATATATAGTTAGTTACATGGAAAATATATGTCTATAGGATGATAGAAAAGATTGCATCATAAATTGATTCGAGAATAAATAACAAATGAGGTTGCGTACTAATCAAGGGGTGAGGAAGAAAATAGTTTCTGGGTCAGATAATAGTCATTGGAACAGATTCTCTTGATCCTAGAGGATAAAGAGTGAAGTAAGTTCCTCTTTCTAGTCAATAGGACCCAGCGATGGAAATTCGTGCATTGTCCATTCCAGGTAGGTTTTCTATATATAGATCTCTGTAAACAACCATCAGGTATTCTTTTTAAACGCACATCAGAAAATGAAATTCATGGTTTGCCTCTGCTTCTAAGGTCAACTGGATTGATGGGTGACAATTATTGAAAATATTCAAGATTTCATTGAGGTCTATGTCTTCTTCACAAATAATGAAAGCATCATCATAATAGATGAGAAACTATCTCAATTCCGACAAACTCTCATCAGAAATGGTTATCCATCTAGATTCGCCGATAGCAACTCAACATCTAGACTTCATTATGAAAAAGCATCGACAGTACAGAAGAAAGCTCTGTTTATGAATATGGAATTTAAAGGAGACTCGGCTGCTGAAATCCTATATAAACGGATTTCAAAATCTTTGAATAAAACATTCTACACAGCTAAGCTCCGAATTGTTTTCTCTAGCCGACCTACCATTCTGGGATATGTTAAGGATAAACTTACGCTTTGGGCTACATCAATGTGTATATATAAATTTACTTGCTCATGTAGGGCACGTTACATAGGCTGCATAAAGCGATCACTTTCCAATCGCATCTCGGAACACTATCTGGCTTGGCTCTTAAAAGGAGAATGTAAAACAATTACTAGTTCGATACAGGAGCATTTAATTAACTGTGGACACATCGCTCCAAAGGACTCTTCTTTTAAAGTAATCTACAGAGTCAAAGGAACTGGATCGAGGGGGGGTCGAATCAATATTTTATGCATTGCTGAGGCATTGGCAATCCACGAACTCAAGTCTGAACTTTGAGTGCAGAAACGATTTGTCTAACCTCTCATCCTTCCTTGGCCCTAATTCCTTTAATGGATACGTTTCGGGCTTTTTTTCTTTTCTCTGCTTGTTTTTCTGTACTTTTATTTGATTACCGAACTTTTTAAATTACTGTTTTGCATTTTAAATAACAATCAGTTATTATTATTACCTTGATTATTATTCAGTCTATTATTATAACCTGTGTTTGTCGCTTTTCTTCATATCAGTCAATTGGACTATTATCTGACCCAGAAACTATTTTCTTCCTCACCCCTTGATTAGTACGCAACCTCATTTGTTATTTATTCTCGAATCAATTTATGATGCAATCTTTTCTATCATCCTATGACATATATTTTCCATGTAACTAACTATATATACGAATGTGCAGCTTAAGCAAATGATTTTGTCGAAAAGAAAATTTTCCTCGCTGAATTCTCTTTTTCTTATTCAATGACACTATGGGTTATTTTAATTTATGAATTAATGCTTTTTTTCGAGTGTTTTCAGTATGAGGTTATGGAGATTGTTGAAATTCGCTGAAAATATGAACAGATCTAAGTTAGACCACCATTGGAAACCTATAAGAAATGTATGACCGTTTCATCCTAGTATATATATGTGTGTGCTTCCACAATTCTGCAGGCGGGGATTGAACCCAGAATTTTTGGTCTCGCGCGCGAACGCTCCACAACACTGGGACGGTATCCAAAGGTGATAGTCACATAATTAGAGTAATTGTAGATAAAGACTTGTACAATAATCGAAAAACTTCATATCTAATTGCACAAATTCATATTCTTTTCCTTTTAAAAAAATTTATGCTATAGATGTATACCTGTTCTAATTATTTATTTTTATCGTACATTGTTTCTTTTCTACAGCTTTACTTTTCTCATGTATTGAACCAATATTTCATCATTCTCTTATACTTTTGGATTGGCCATTTCTACTTCATGAATTAAATGTTTGTTCTAATTGTATTTTATATTTACTCAGTTGTCATTCTTCTTCACAATGTTTATTATCTACCAAAAATAATAGTAGTAATAGTAGTATTTTATTAACTGAATCAAACAATTGTAATTCTTTTTGTCAAAATATTCAAGATGAGAAAATTAAAAATGTTGCGTTGGTTATTCTTTTCTGTACAATACTTCAAAATACATTGTATCAAAAAATGATTATAGATCAAGATAGTCAAAATCTAAGTCAACCTGTAAAGTCTCTGAGTGAAAGTGTTCAAAAGGTGAGGTTTTCATTGGAATTTTCTTTTTTTTTAAAGCACTTTTCATATCTTACATTAGATATGATCATAAAATACTCATGTTATGACAAAATGAATATTAGGAAAGTCAAAAACTATCGCGGCTATTTTTTGCAATTACGATTATTTATATCTATATTATATAATTAGTAAATGCCCTGGTACGACCAAAGGTGGGGAGAGTCATTTCTCGAAATCCTCTCACATTGTCACGTGTATACAACCACTATCACGAAAGTCCTACTCACTGCCTTCTCGTGGCCAGAGTGTTGTTTACGAAATTCAGAAGACGAAAAGCGAATGTTCAACGCTTTAACCGTGTTAGTGGATACAGAGGATTCATGTAGGGGAGTTGGAAAATCTTGATTCCAAACAAACGGTGCACATGGGATCCAGAATCTTAAGGGAGAAAATGGTAACTGGCTACCATGGGACTGCATGTTCTAACGTTGCTTCACTTCCTTGTCGATTAGATCTCTAGGTCAAAAGCCGGGACAGTGACCCTTCAACGAAACTACTTGCTTCGGTTTTTGCGACAAGGCAGTGTTCCAGTCCTCACACAAATCAAATAACGAAGTGCGCGCACCGAAAAACTAATCTGTTCGCTATTTGCATCTGCTTATTTATCACTGAGTTTGTAAGGGGGCTCGAGGACAAATAAGCATTAGGGCCTTGGCTATAGTTTATTGATCAGTGTGTAAATTCGTGAAATTGGTCAATGGTCTGACCGACAATATGGTATGTGATATCAGTTAGGAATTTTCAAGCCTTAAGAAACCCATAGCAGCTTTTTTCTCAAGATACAACAAATAAATAAGTTGATTTTTGTATGGTGTAGTTTGACGGAAGGTGGTGGAATCCTAGTCGATTCACTCCTAACCCCAATGTTAAAAAGCTGCGGATGTTTTCCGTCTTTCGTTTATCTTCATTAGCTGAATGTTAATCACTGTTGTTCTTAAAAGTTTGTAAAGTATGTTAATTCAGTTAATTCTTGTGTGTTTATCACGATATGGCATTTTGATTCTTCTTGAACTGACGCCAATAATACCTAGTTTCGATACATAAATACACCCATTTTCCCTTTTCTCCTAGTCTTGGGTAGTCTGAAGAATAAATCTTTCAAGAATTATTAGATGTTAACCGAAGATTTATTCATAATATGTCAACATACGTACAATAACCTTGAAAACCGCAGTACATAAAAAGCCACTGACCATACAGAGAATAATATTTTCGAGTCTAAATCGTGGTTTCAATAAAGGGAAGATATTGTGGAGCTATTTGATGCGAGAGAATAGGTATAAGTATTCACGAAATGAGCAGTAACTCGATGGTTTTCTAGGGATTTAACATTCTTAATACCATATACCCTTTTCTTATTAACTTCAGTCACTAACAACTGAGACAAATAAGTGATTTTGTTGCAAATCTATCCTAACGAAATCAGCTGCTACTTTTTTAGGCTTTCTTGTTAGTTGGGCAATAACTCTGTAATCGATTGAATTCTAGCAATCTACACGTATTCATAAGAAGGAGAATAAAGCATTGAAGTACATCGGTTTACCATTGTGTTACATTGGTTCTCTAGTTATTCTATTCTAAGTAAACTTCTCCAGTTGTGTAGCTGTTGACCCCCCCCTATCTGGATAGAATATCCGTCGATTTGCTTTAAATTGCTAATCAGTCAGTCAGCTACAACGTTAGGACAAGGCGCATATATGCATCGGTCCAAGTTTTCATACCTCATTAACACAACAAGATGGACACCGAATTCATAGAAGTAGTTAATTCAGTGGTGGTAATATACAAAAGAAAGATTGCATATATGGACATAGTACAGGAAGAAAGAGTTAGTTGGTAAAAAGAAAGATATAATGCAATTTTAATCTCATAGTTTAAGAGAAGACAGAGAGTGTATATACCGACGCCATTGTAGTAGATTCTGAGCCATATCACAAAGAGTCTCCAACCTTTGGTTACGATAGTCGCGCGGATCCCAACCAAATAGTCTGCATCTACCAACATGGCTCAGACTAGAAGTTAGTGACTTCAAGCACTGATGCCACGTTTTGGTTTGGCTGCCCCTAACTTTCTTCCAACCATCCCGAACAACGGTTAGCATTGCACGTCGTGGTAATCGGTGTTTGCGCATACGTAACACGTGGCCCAACCATCTCAGTCGATGAAGATTCACAACCTCATCAACTGATTTACCATCATTCCCTAATACCCTGCGTCTAACCTCACTATTACTTACCCGGTGATCCTAGCAGACGCCAGCAATATTTCTAAGGCATCTGTGTTCAAATTAAATCTCTAATGGTCAGGGATGTTTTCACAACATAGTCTGAAAAGAATCCTATTACGTACACATTGGCACGAATTACAGTGACACTATCCCTATCATGTAAAAAATCGAATGAACACACTGATTTGTTAATTAATAATTTTTATTTTTCCCTGTTTGATAACAATTTACATGGAATAATCTTAATTCACTTGATTCTTTTTTTGATTTTCATAATTTTCATAGTCATGTGTAGCATCTATAATTCATACGAAATTATTACCAGCTCTACAATGTCTTGATTTGAATGCATTACATGGTGAAATAGAACAATTGGCTTTTCAAATGCTTCATTAAAATTTTTCTTGTAAATTCTATTTATGTATAACATTGTGTAAGTTAAAGTGTTCCTGATTTCTGACTTACGTCTGTCATCCCTCTTGAAGAAGCATAGGTCGCCCAACAGGATTCTCCACTGAACTCTGTCCTGGGCAAACCTTTCCAATTGTTTCTGATCGCTATTCATTCTTTTGATGTTTGCTTCCAATCCCGACCCTTGATTTTTCTTTTTCCCTTCAGGATTCCAAGTTAGTGCTTTCCTTGTGGTTCCGTCTGATGATTTCTACAATGTATACCCTATCCACTTTCATCACATTTTCTTAATTTCCTCTTCAGCTTGTGAATCCTGATTATTTTAAGAAAAATCATCCGTCTCTTTTTCTATTTATCTTTTTTATGATACCAAACAAGATTATGTTTTTTTACACAAAACCCTAAGCATTAAAGGTCATTTATAAATAGTTATCCTTGTTTATATACCTCCTATTGTTTTAGAGTTGATCATTATTGTTAAGCTTTGCCTTTTTTACTGGATTTAGCTCTCAGTGACTGAACTATTTTATTTTTGTGACTGTAAAATAAAAAAATGTTCTGAATACTGCTTTTTGAATTTCACTCCCATAAATGATCATTTTCAGTTGAACAGTAATAACACGTCGTGTATGTATATGTATATTTTAAAGCCAAAAGTAGATCCCAAGAACAACTGAGGTCACACTTAGATAGTTCTGAAAACGAGGCTGCCCAGATGTTGCTTGGAAAGATATACGAACAGCTGTGGAAACAACAGCGACATCTATCAGTGACTTAAACCAAAGGGTTACGAAAAACCAGTGATTTTCTTCTAAGTCTATTGCACTGGTGGATTCTCGTAAACTCATCAGACTCCGAACACAATGAAGAACGAAAACAAGTCAGATCTAGGTTAACCAAAAGTCTAAGGAACGACCGTGAGCAGTGGTGGATAATGAAAGCAAAAGAGATGGAAAAGGCGGTAACTGTAGGTAGCACAAGACAGCTCTTCAGATTAATAAACGAAATTGGAAATTATAAGACAAGTGTGAGATTCTCGGAAAAAGACGAAACTCGTATCTGCTCTCAGCTCATGTTTTTTGAGCGGTAGGCAGAACACTAATGAGCAGTTCAGCTACTCTACAACTACCCACCATTCCCAATCAGCCTGAATGTAACATTGAAGTAAGTCCCCCGACTCTAATTGATGTTCAAAAATCTGAAACGAGGAAGAGCAGCTGGTCTAGATGAATTAACTCCAGGGGATTTTAAGGATGGTGGTCCAGATTTAGCGATTAGTTTGACTAATATTTTAGCTTAAATCTGGGAGTTGGATGTAACCTCATCTGACTGGCTGCAATCACTGATTGTCCCAATATATAAGAAAGGGCCAAAGTCATCCTGTGATAACCATAGAGGGGTTAGTTCTACTAACATAATATCTGTAATACTAGCCTCAATAATTATCGGGCGCCCAACAAAGACTCGTGAACTGCAAACACGATGAAATCAGGTTGGCTTTAGACCTGGTCATGGTCATGCATCATTCGTCAGGTACTAGAACACTTGAAAGCAGCATTTGACTCTGTAGACCGAGAGGTTCTGTGGAGGTGTCTGTCACTGAAAGGTGTACCTCAGAAGTACATAAACCTTGTGAAGGCTCTTTACTCGAATACTACTAGTCTAGTTAAGGCTTGTGGCAAAATGTCATCTGATTTCGCAACCTCAAGTGGTGTCCGTCAAGACTGTCCACCTTCTCCATTTTTGTTCAATTTCATCATAGACATACTGATAGGAGTAACGTTCTCGTCGACCAAATTTCCGGGCATCGATCTCCTATCAGGAGGTTCACTTATGGACTTGGAATACGCAGATGATATAGTCCTGTTTGGTGAAGACGCTGATAAAATGCAGTCTTTTGATAGCACTGAGCAACAATGTCAAGATGTTTGGGATGAATATCTCCCCTTCTAAATGCAAATTGTTACTCCAGGACTGGCCTTTGTCAACACCTGAACTAAGGATGGGGAGTGAAGTATTCGAACGCGTTGACAACTTCACTTACCTTGGAAGTCTTATCAGCCCTAATTGGTTGGTGTCTGGCGAAATCTGTGCACGGATCCGAAAAGCTCGTTTGGCTTTTGCCAACTTACGTCACCTATGGTGAAAGCGAGTTATCCGTCTATCAATTAAGGGACGGGACGTTCTGTTTTAATTTACGGCTGAAAAACGTGACCATTACGAGTGGAAGATACTAGTAAGGTACTAGTATTTGACCACAGATGCCTTAGAATATTGTTGGCGTCTGTTAGGATCACCAGGTAAGCAATAGTGAAGTTAAACGCAGGGTATTACGGAATGATGGTAAATCAGTTGATGAGGCTGTGAATCTTCATAAACTGAGATGGTTGGACCATGTGTTGCGTATTCCTAAACACTGATTACCACGACGCGCAATGCTGACTAGTGTTAGAGGCGGTTGGAAGAAAATTGGGGGCGGCCAACCGAAAATTTAGCATTAGTACATAAAGTCACTAACTTCTGGTAGATGCAGACTATTTGGTTGGGATCCGCGCGACTATCGTAACCAAAGGTTGGAGACTCTTTGTGATATGGCTCAGAATCTACTACAATGGCGTCGGTATATACACTCTGTCTTCTCTTAAACTATGAGATTAAAATTGCATTATATCTTTCTTTTTACCAACTAACTCTTTCTTCCTGTACTATGTCCATATATGCAATCTTTCTTTTGTATATTACCACCACTGAATTAACTACTTCTATGAATTCGGTGTCCATCTTGTTGTGTTAATGAGGTATGAAAACTTGGACCGATGCACATATGTGCCTGGTTCTACGTTGTAGCTGACTGGTGTATATTTGAAAAAAGGGGTTACAAAATTGTCTTTTTTTAGACAAATACGATCTTTCTGTTTTCTTGCAACTCTTTTTATCTCTATTGATCTTATATACGTATTCACTTTGAATACATCTGTTAGATAATATCTAAGAAAGTGTACTGCTAGATCTATGTATAAACTATTAGTTAACTCAATGAAATGAGTTACACATTAAGATCAGAAAAATGATATTTGAAATTAAGTTACCCATTGAGATTTTTGAATAAATTTTGAGTTGATAAATATCAAAATATGACCTAGAGCACAAGAATACCTACAATTTAAGGTTAATACTATTTATTAATATGAAGTAGCATGAGATAAAATATAATAAGTATGGGAAGATAAGTTAAACAACTACTGAATAACGACATGATCTTTGCACGATACTCATTACAAGTGTATCGACCTGAAGATTTATCATCTCGAAATGCTTTAACGCGCTATATCTTAAATCCATAAGACTTTAAAGAGCTTGTTGGGTGAAAGCATTGTGTTGCTGTATACATTCCGTCTGGTCTAAACAAACTCGATTACTAGTAACCTAGGCATTCCCACTTTATATTTCGATCAATACTCAATCACCAGTTAGTTGAGGATTAAATAGGAACAAGTTCTTCCATTAATATTACTCGTCCACGGTGTTGCTTAAAAAAGTCAGATGATGAAAAGCAAACTCCACCTCAACTGAGTTGGTGGATACGGAGGGTTTACCTAGGGGATTTTGAGAACCGCAATCCTAGAGTATTTTTGACTATCGATTACCATGGAACGTCGTTTCTTGATGTTGCTCCGTTGACTAGTATATGAGATTCTTACGTTAAAAGTTATGGGAGCGTCCCCCTTCAAGGAAATCATTCAATTCGTCCAGTCGGTATCCCAACCCGCACACAAATACTATAATTTTGTCCAGTGCATACTATGCTTTAGTGTCCAGTTATACTAGATTTTATGTGAATTGAATAAAAAAGATCGACCAATTCTATCAAAGTCAAATATATATATATATATTTATGTACATAATATCATTCACGACAAGTGAATACAGACCAATTTTGTCAGATAGTTACTTACACTAAACAAATGTGAAAATATTATGAAAACAAAGTTAAATATAAATAACTAGTGAATGAATAAATCATAAAAATGATGATAATAATAATAATAATAATAGTAATGACGATGTAAATTTAACTTTTCCATTATTTTTCGTGAATTGAGTAATGTCTATAGCTGCTATAAAAACTGGATTTACTTTTTATTCAAATCAAAATAAGATAAATACAAGTATTATAACGATGTTTATTGTATTTCAAAATGAATATTAAACAACCCACTACTAACGTAATTAGAAGACACTTTGTATATATGTGTGAGTGTGAATATGAATAAAAAGAAAATAATTATAAGAATAGTTATGAACAAACTTATCTAGAAAGACATAAACAGTAAAAGATCTGAGATTTAATTGAATAATAATGATAATATTATTATTTATTGAATAATCTGTGGACTTAAAAAATCATGACAATCAGAACATATACGAACAGGTTTATTACTAGCTAATCCTTCAATAGATTGCCAATAATTACAACATTTTGAACAGAATATATGACCACAACGACGACAATGATGACGTCGCCAAATTAATGTGAATAAACGATTACATGAAGCACAATTACGTCCAACAATATATGAACATTGTGAATCATCAAAGTTAATTGAATCATCGTCATCATCATCATCATTATGATTATCAATTTTCAATCGATCAATATGATTTTCATAAGATGGTGAGTCAGGTTGCCATGCTGGTAGATAATTGAATATGTGATCAGTGGGATTTTGTGTCCCTTCAAAGGAAATATTTAAATTTAATGCTTGAAGCCTTTGTGAAAATGTGCCTTAATCGAGAAATAAAATAAAAGATATTGGTTTTTATTAATTTGAAATCGAAATATATGATGAATATGAATAGAGACTACACATTGAAAGAAACTATGTATCATGATTGATCCACAAAGTTTATCAATAACCACTTTGAGTGAACAATTACGATTCTACAACATCTTATTGTCCTCACAAAAAAAGTATTTGTTAAAA